TTAAAATGAGTAACACATCCATGGCCACATTTTGAGGTTACTGTAACTATAAATGTCTTCTTATGTAATCATAGAAAGTGTGCATGTTCAAGATGATAGCATGCAAAGGTCGGCAGGTCTGTGGAGATCTTCACAATTGCTGTAATAATCTGCGCAGAATCTTGAACAGGATTGATCACTTGCACTATGTAAATTTAACGTAATCTCATCTGCAATCCAGGTCATTTGGTTGTGCTATTAGATGAAGCACAGTGATAACACATTAAGTTGTTGTATAAATACAAAATATCTGACATTGTATATCCATTTGAACTTTGTTGTGCTTTTAAATGGTTGAAAGCATAGTGACAACACATTGAGAATTGAACAAACTTCTGGCTGTCTTTTTGAAATCACATTGACCAACGTCTCAACCAAATATTACCCACATTTCCACGTTTAAATGACGTGGTGTGCCCAATGAAAGGTTTGTGGTCTGTTCCAGCAGAAGACTGGAGATGCATGGGAATTGCTTGGCCTTTGTTCATTTTTTTTCCCATAGCGAGCTTCCCTATGATATCATAGAGGAGAGGCTGTTTATGTACAGTAATTATCAAAGGAACGCCGATCCAAAAAGAGCAAAAGAGCAATGATGCATCTGTGTTTTTGCAACAAACAGGAAAAGAGCCAATGTGCAAATGTGAACCACAACTCAAGCTGAATAAAGAGCTTTGCATTCTGATCACTGTTATGTAGTTTCAAGTTTTAATGTCACATGCACAAGTACAGTGAAATGCCTTTGTTGCCAGCTCTAACCCCAACAATGATGTAATCAATAATAAGGTAGAAACAAAAACACACAAGATATCAAAATAAGAAGAACATGATAAAGTAAGTAAGCATACTATACTGAACAAAAATATAAACGCAACATGCAACAATTTCAAAGATTTTACTGCGTTACAGTTCATATAAGGAAATCAGTCAATTGAAATAAATTAATTAGGCCCTAATCTATGGATTTCACATGATTGGGAATACAGATATGCATCTGTTGGTCACAGATACCTTTAAAAAAAGGTAGGGGCATGGATCAGAAAACTAGTCAGTATCTGGTGTGACCACCATTTGCCTCATGGAGTGCCACACATCTCCTTCGCATAGAGTTGATCAGGGTGTTGATTGTGGCCTGTGGAATGTTGTCCCACTCCTTTTCCATGGCTGTGTGAAGTTGCTGGATATTGGCAGTAACTGGAACAAGCTGTTGTGCACGTCGATCCAGAGCATCCCAAACATGCTCAATGGGTGACATGTCTGGTGAGTATGCAGGCCATGGAAGAACTGGGACATTTTCAGCTTCCACGAATTGTGTACAGATCCTTGTGACATGGGGCCGTGCTTTATCATGCTGAAACATGAGGTGATGGCGGTGGATGAATGGCACGACAATAGGCCTCAGGATCTCGTCATGGTATCTCTGTGTATTCAAATTGCCATCGATAAAATGCAATTGTGTTCATTGTCCGTAGCTTATGCCTGCCCATACCATAACCCCACAGCCACCATTGGGCACTCTGTTCACAACATTGACATCAGCAAACCGCTCCGCCATCACGACGCCATACATGTGGTCTGCGGTTGTGAGGCCGGTTGGACGTACCGCCAAATTCTCTAAAACGACATTGAAGGTGGCTTATGGTAGAGAAATGAAAATTATATTCTCTGGCAATAGCTCTGGTGGACATTCCTGTAGTCAGTATGCCAATTGCACACTCCCTCAAAACTTTAGACATTTGTGGCATTGTGTTGTGTGAAAGAACTGGCCTTTTATTGTCCCCATCACAAGGTGCACTAGTGTAATGATCATGCTGTTTAATCAGCTTCTTAATATGCCACACCTGTCAGGTGGATGGATTATCTTGGCAAAGGAGAAATGCTCACTAACAGGGATGTAAACAAATTTGTCCAAAACTTTGTCCAATAATATTTTTGTGCGTGTGGACAATTTCTGGGATCTTTTATTTCAGCTCATGAAACATGGGACCAACATGTTGCGTTTTTATTTTTGTTCAGTGTAGTTAGCAGTATTATGGCATGGGGATAGAAGCTGTTCAGGAGCCTGTTGGTGTCAGACTTGATGCATCGGTACCGCTTGCCATGCTTAAGCAGAGAGAACAATGGCTTGGGTGGTTGGAGTCTTTCACGATTTTCCGGGCCTTCCTTTCAAACCGACTGATATACAGATTCTGGATGGCAGGGAGCTCGGCCCCAGTGACGTACTGGGCTGTCCATACAACCCTCTGTAGCGCAATGCAATCGGGGGTGGTGCTATTACCATACCAAGCAGTGATGCAGCCAGTCAAGATGCTCTCATTGGTACAGCTGTAGAACGTTTTGAGGATTTGAGGGTCCATGCCAAACCTTTTCAACCACTTTCGTGCCTTCTTCACAACTGTGCATGCGTGTGTGGACCAGTTTAAGTTCTTAGTGATTTGGACACCGAGGAACTTGAAGCTCTCGACCTGCTCCACTGCAGCCCATTGATGTGGATGGGGGTGTGCTCGCCCCCCGTTTTCTGTAGTCCACGATCAGCTCCTTGGTCTTACTGACGTTGAGGGAGAGGTTGTTGTTCCGGCCCCTCACTGTCAGGTCACTGACCTCCTCCCTGTCGGCTGTCTCATCTTCACCGCTGATCAGGCCTACCAGGTCGTGTTGTCAGCAAACTTGATGATGGTGTTGAAGTGGTGCATGAACAGGGAGTACAGGAGGGGACTAAGCACACACCCCTGTGGGGCCCCCGTGTTGAGGGTCAGCGTGGCGGAGGTGATGTTGCCTACCTTCACCAACTGGGGTCAGCCCGTCAGGAAGTCCAGGATCCAGTTGCAGAGAGAGGTGTTCAGTCCCAGAGTCTAAGCTTTGTTACGAGCTTGGAGGGGACAATGGTGTTGAACACTGAGCTGTAGTCAATTAACAGCATTCTCACATAGGTATTCCTCTTATCTAGGTGGGTGAGGGCAGTGTGGAGTGCAATTGAGATTGCGTCGTCTATGGATCGGTATGCAAATTGGAGTGGGTCTAGGGTTTCTGGGATAATCTCCTCTAGAAAACAGAGAAAAGCAAACCAACATGTTTGGTCAGTCCACTGTGCCTTGCCCAACCAAGGGCAAGTCAATGACACTCCCCATCCTTTTTTATTACTGTTTTCAGTTGCTGTTATAAGGAGTCATTCTTATCAGGGCGAGGAGACTAAAACGTTCCATATCTGATATTTAAAGAATGTCCATGTCTTTGGACTGGGGGGAAATTGAATCATACACTGCACCAAATGAGGGTCTGGACATAAGAGTAGTTCTGCAATATACTGTAGTATGGGGCATAATCAAAAAAAGGCAGTCGCAACACCACCTACGTAGAAAGTGTTGAAGTTTAAGCAGACATTCTTATGGTAATGTTTAGAACTCTGTTGATGACTACAGAGGCACATTAAACATTTGAATCAACATTTTATTAAAAGCAGAGGGGACATCTACATGTCCTCAAATGGAACATAAATACAAAAAAATATATGTACATATGGCAGTGACAAATAGAAGCGTACCGGATAGGTCTGGACCAAGTTTATCCTCATAAGGTATGAGAAAACAGAGGAAATGAACTATTTTTGGAGAACAGTGGGGACCTTGTTACCCCCTTACTACAGAGATAGAGATGAATCATATGGATCACGTCCCATCCTGGGTTAGGTTCACAACCCTTGAGGTACAAAGAAGAGCTACACGCTAAAACTAACACATTTACAAAACGCAGTCCCAAAGAAGAAGAGCAACTAAAATGTCCATTGTGGATCATCAGTTAGGCAACACATATGTACAGTACATTAGATCTTACTATAAGCCGTTTTTGTTTAATTTCTCCAGTTTTCACCCGTCTTTGGTCCGCTGGGTCTGTTACTGAATAAGTTTGATAACCACAACTGAATAAAAATACACAAGAGGCACTACATTTTTGTTGCAAATACACTATCCCCCCAAAAAATATGCAATGTATATACTGTACAGTTTAAGTATAGCTTGTCACTAAAATAAAATAAAAAAGTGCTTAAAATCAATATACTTTGAGCACAAGATCACATCCTCAACCTTCCACAGGAATTACAACTCATTTCCAATAGGTACACAGGACAGTTGTAGTATACAAGTTTCACCACAAAGGGGCAGTATACCAGCAGAATGAGACTAATCCCTTATAGATGATTGGAAATTGAAGACTAACAGCTGTGGCATTGTAGCAGGAGTTCCCTGCAAAACAGGATTCTGTGTGCATAGGCTGTGCATCTACTCCTGTGCTGTCCTAAAAAGTCCCCTGATCCAACTACTCAATTTCTCCCTTAAAATGTGTTTTTCTTGATTTTATATACTATTATACATCAAATGTATTTTCACCGTATCTTTTACTATTTTGATAAAGTCATATATTTGTTTGAAAACCTGTTTGGTTGTGCTCCAGAGGACCATAACTAAATAATGAAGAGACCTTGACTAACCATGTTGTTGCCACCGAAAACTGTAGACAATACTGTTTGTTACACCAATAATACCAGCAGCATTAATAGTCATCCTTCAAACCGAATACTATTCTATCATGCACTTTGAACCCACAGACCCGACACTTGGGAATACAATCTGAGTCTGAGAAAAACTGATTAAGGCAGTAAATGGTGTAAATATGAATATCTGTCATTTCTTGTTGGCATCTCAAACCCTAGCGAAACACCACAAACCTTCATTCACATAAATGTATCATATACATTCCATTTAATCTTTATCGGATTTACACACATTTCAAACCTAAACAGATTCACAACAGCTGAAAGGGGGCCACCTATTGCACAAGGGGTTTGGATCTTGCATCACACATCAACCTAATTTACTTTGACCCCTTCACGGATCTCCTCAAGTGGTGGCCAATTTCTCCTCCATTTAATAGATTTTTCTTTCTCTCCACCTTCTATGAGGCAGAGTCCCCCAGGGGTGTGTGCTTGGGTCCCTAGCTGGAGTCTCCGGAAGGTGGTTCTGGGTCAGAGTCGGGCCCGTCCTGTTCGTCTGACGGGAGGTGGACCCGCTGCTCGTCCATGCGCTTGGCCTGTACCCTCTGGATCAGACTGAAGAAGTCCTCGTCAGGCACTGTGGGGGCCCGGGGTCCCCCTTCTGGCGGGGAACACCGTTGGTCATCGATCCTTGAGGACTGGGAGCAGACACGGAGAGTGAGATAGAGGGAGAGACAGACATCTAAAATAGCAAGTCCTGCAGTTTATGAATCCTGCATAGCCTGAGATATGCACAAACATTTGAGTATTTTACCTAAATCATGCATTGATTGATGCTAATAGAGACTGACTAAACACAAACATTTGAGTTATTTGAGCAGATCTTAGGTTAAGATTCAACCCATCGAGATGCTGAGGCAGTGAGACGCGGCCCTACCTGGCACTTCATGAGCATGTTGAAGAAGTCATCGCTGGGCTCCTGGGGGTCTGCATCGACACACAGGTGGCCCAGGTTGTTGTGGGTGATCCTGAGGCCTGGCAAGTTGCTGACGCTGACCCGCTGGTCATCCAGGCGACGGCTCTGGGAGCTGACAATCAGGTCAAACAGCTCCTCTGTCTGGGGCGAGGTGATGAGTGTAGGGTCTGAGAAGCACAAGAGGAGGACTATATTAATTTACTGTAATTGACAGAAAATATTCAAAGCCACACATTCCTGACTAGAGACTAGTGCTTTGAGTGAATCATGCATTGATGTCAAATCAAGTCACTGGAAGTAATGACGGTCCCAAGTAGTATTAGGGATCCTCTAGCTTTAGACCGCCGTCACAGTCGCTAACCTACCTAGCATTTCATTGAGAGAGACGGCCCCTCCATTCTTGCCATTTTCTCCGTTCTCCTCGTTTGGGTCGTCTAGGTGGCAGCGCTGGTCGTCCATGCGGCTGCTCTGGAACTTGCTGAGGAGGTCGAAGAAGCAGTCCTCATCGGAGGGGTCACGACCTACTTTCTGAAACAGAGGGACATTGACGCTAAGTGATATAACAGGCACATACAGTGCATTCGGAAAGTATCCAGACCCCTTGACTTTTTCCACATTTTGTTACGTTACAGCCTTATTCTTAAATTGATTAAATTGTTTTTTCCCCCTCATCAATCTACACACAATACCCCATAATGACAAAGCAAAAACTGGTTTTTAGAAATGTTTGAAAATATTAAAAAAATCTCATTTACCATAATATTCAGACCCTTTACTCAGTCCTTTGTTGAAGCACCTTTGGCAGCGATTACAGCCTCGATTCTTCTTGGGTATGACGCTACATGCTTGGCACACCTGTATTTGGGGAGTTTCTCCCAATCTTCTCTGCAGATCCTCTCAAGCTCTGTCAGGTTGGATGGGGAGCGTCGCTGCACAGCTATTTATTTTCAGGTCTCTCCAGAGATTTTCAATCGGGTTCAAGTCCAGGCTCTGGCTGGGCCACTCAAGGACATTCAGAGACTTGTCCCGAAGCCACTCCTGTGTCGTCTTGGCTGTGTGCTTAGGGTCGTTGTCCTGTTGGAAAGTGAACCTTCACCCCCAGTCTGAGGTCCTGAGCGCTCTGGAGCAGGTTTCCATCAAGGATCTCTCTGTACTTTGCTCCGTTGGTTGGTTGTTCTTCTGGAAGGTTGTCCCATCTCCACAGAGGAACTCTGGAGCTCTGTCAGAGTGACCATTGGGTTCTAAGTCACCTCCCTGACCAAGGCCCTTCTCCCCCGGTTGCTCAGTTTGGCCGGGCGACCAGCTCTTGGAAGAGTCTTGGTGGTTCCAAACTTCTTCCATTTAAAAATGATGGAGGCCACTGTGTTCTTGGGGACCTTCAATGCTGCAGAAAAAATGTTGTACCCTTCCCCAGATCTGTGCCTAGACACAATCCTGTCTCGGAGCTCTAAGGACAATTCCTTCAACCTCATGGCTTGGTTTTTACTCTGACATGCACTGTCAACTGTGGGACCTATATAGACAGGTGTGTGCCTTTCCAAATGTCCAATCAATTGAATTTACCACAGGTGGACTCCAATCAAGTTGTAGAAACATCTCAAGGATGATCAATGGAAACAGGATGCACCTGAGCTCAAGTTTGAGTATCATAGCAAAGGGTCTGAATACTTAGGTAAATAAGGTATTTAAAATATATATGTGTGTGTGTGTGTGTATACATACATACATACGTAAAAATTTCTAAAAACCTGTTTTCGCTTTGTCATTATGGGTTATTGTGTGTAGATTGATGAGGACAAAAATAAATGTAATCCATTTTAGAATAAGGCTGTAACGTAACAAAATGTGGAAAACGTGAAGGGGTCTGAATACTTTCCGAATGCACTGTATTTCCACACACACACACAGTCTCTTATATCCTGTTTCTGTTTGGCTTGTTTAAGAGGATGGCAGGTTTGGGGCGATTGGTGTTCTAGATAGAGGAGAAAATTAGTTTAGCATATCAAGTACTATTGAACTGCTGTGAAATGACCATACAGTATGTCCTGGTGTCATAGTGTCTAATGAGTCACATGGCCAAATAGATTCACTGTCTGTCTGTATCCATTGATTGGCTATTAGTGTGATTCACCAGTTTTAGCCCAATGCAATCAGTGGCAGTACAATTATTGGCTCTCTACCATTTTGGTGACCTGTACCATTATATATCGAGTTGCTGTTGTTTGAGTTGTTCTCAACCTTTTCATAGCACTTTGGAAACAAAATGGCTTCGATACTGCCTGGAATAGCACATAACAGTGTTCTCACTATCTGACCAATTCTTGTGCTTAGGGCTGAAGATGCCTTCAAGTTTGCGCAATCCGTCCCAATGACATAATGTACAAAATAAACCTCCATTCTTGCCCTGTTAAAATTCTCCATTAATATATTCATGAAAATACACTTGTAAAGCTATCTTCATCTCAGTGTTAAAATGTTGGTGCATATGTTCCAAATAATGTATACTGTTATAATGACCTAATTCCAATGTAAACATGAATATATATGACTATTCACTACATTTAGTTGTCATACAAAATTGCTGTTAGGTCATCAAACATAGCACAACCTCTCAATATAGTACACATATAAATCCCCCACAGCCTCCTCTGAGTATCAACATCCAGTACTGTGGCCATCTTCAATATCCACACTCAGGAAAAATCAGCATGATTCTCTGTATTGAAGTCAGTGTGTGATCCTGCCTCCATGTTGATGATAAAACCCTGGGCAGGTTAATGCCAGGCATCAAAGGCAGTGAGCCACAGGACACATCATGGATCAATAATGGCTGATGGTGTCATTATCCCCCTGGACATCACCCCTTCCCCACCACGCCTCGCAGGCAGACACACCATAATGGCCCAATTAACACCAAGTATTATCGCCACAAAAATAGAACTGGATACACGTACCGTACAAGGCAATTTTGTCTGGTAACGTTGATAATTAAGAACCTTTAAGACTCAACTCGGTACAGTGTGATCTGTACAAACGCAACTATCAGTGAATAAGCTCACCAGAATCTGGTCAGAGACTACAATGTTCAATAGTACGAGACAACAGTGCTGTCGCTGTAGGCGGTCACATTTTCAGCAGAGACTTTTCTTGTGAAAACTTTCTACCAAAATTAGGCTACACTTCAAACGTTTGCTTTACTGGGCGTCGTAAAAGCATTTAATTGCCACAAAATGTGTCTGCCTCTCTGGCAGAGCAAGAAACATACATTTAGGATAACCAAGTCACAAATTAGAGAGACTAGTTCAAGCAACACCATCGTCCATCAAATTATCATATAGATAAAGAGTACAGTGAAGTATCTTACCACACAAGCACCTCTCTTTCCTCTTTCTTCACTCTCTCCAAGCGCTCTCCCCCTTTCCCTCACTCTCCACACGCCTGACTCACACTCCCCTCTCTTCCCCCCTTCCCTCACCACTCTCCTCCTTTCCACCCTTCCCTCACCACTCTCCTCCTTTCCACCCTTCCCTCTCGGTGCTCTTTTTGCTCTCTTTCCCCCATCCCTCCTCATTACGCCCTCCCTTGTTCCCTTTCTCCCCTCTTCTCATCTCTCCCCCGCTCTCATCTCTCATCCTCTCAACTCTCACCCTCTCACTCACTTTCTCTCTCTCTCTCTCTCTACCATTCATTCATACACACACACACACACACACACACACACACACACACACACACACACACACACACACACACATATATATATCTTCCTCCTTCCTCTCTCCCTTCTGCAGGTCATCATTGTCCCAGCTGCAGCTCTCTCTCCCACTGTGGGAAAATAACTCATTATGAGGAGAGGGGGTCTTCTGATGAAGGTCACATTGTCAGCCGAGGCAGGGGGATGGGCAGAGAGTGCCCACCAACATATCACGGGAACAACAAACTCTGAGCTCTGCCAAGAGACAGTTCCGGCAAGCACAATGGAACATCTCATTGGGTTCAATCATGCCATCTATTTAATAATTGTATCTATAGCAGCAATAAATTCATATGGATCTCTTGTGAATAAAATGCTATTCTGTGATGAATTCCCAAATTGACCAGCAAAAGAGGAAACATTCTGTGGGTCTTACTGTGCCTCAGCTGAGGTCCATGTGATTGTAATTTTCTCCCCCTCCGAGCATAATGAGCTGTGACTTCCTGGATTCTGTCTGTTCTCCCCTTGCCTCTCTGGCTGGATCTTCCCTCTGCCTATGTATTGTTCAATTACTCAATTATGGTGAAGGGGAGCGAGTGAGAGAGAGTGAGTTGGAAGGAGAGTGTGTGAGGGGTGAGAGAGAGAGAGGTGGAAGTGGGAGGGGAAAGGGCTCTCCCTAAATGAAATCAGTGTTGCTAAGGAAACCAGAACTCAAAGTTGCGCCGCTATCCTTAACAGACACACACACAGAGGCACCCATTGACATTTCACCACTTCCCAATGGCCGATCCCTTCTCCTCGCATTTTGTGATCAGAGTGACTTGTGACCTGGTGTGAAGAAAATTGACCAAATACCCTTTATATTGTCAGTTCAAGATATTATTGACTCTAGTTCTGGAGACCAGAGAGCGATAAGCAACAGAGGAAGTGCACTTTGTCACCATACCAACACCCAATGGTACAACAGCTATTTTAGTCAGCCAATAAATAACGGCCATCCTTTACACAATGTCTTCCTTACTCTTTTCCACGGTAGTCCACTGATTACAACAATTAACAGCATCACAGAACCGAGATGCATGGTTGGCCGAGTCAGGCGCTGAATTACAGCAAGGCACAACCCCATTGGCTGAAGCTGGCCGATGATGTTCTAAGGATAAGGGCAGCACAAAGGTGTATTGTTATGAACAATCTAGAGCAATCAGAAAGGCCAGCAGGTTTACTTTGTGTTATTCCTGGAAGCGCCATCAGACACAGCACTCCTCTCTACCAGGAAGTAACCTGGAGACCTAGTCTGGCCATTAACCCTCATTAAATCACATCAAGTTTCACCTACAGCACTTTCCCTTGCCCCTATCATCATATGACATAAATCTGGATACAAGGACCCTACAGACTTCAGAAGCCTCTTCCTGACCACCAGCGTTGGCGCGCTAACCACATTCATGTCTTTTAGCTGTCAGGTTAGCTTTCATTGATTGTTAAAAAGGCTGCCAATCCTTAAATGCAGAGGGGAAACTGAAGCTGGAGTCAGTAGATAATGCCTTTCAGTAGAACACTTTCATACTAGGAGGAAAGCGTGAGATTTAATTAGGGCTTTAAGGAGAAACAAGCTACTCAGAGGAGCAATCGCTACTGTCAGCTAAAGCTAACACAGTTCAAAGTCATTGTGTCTGAGTCCATTATAGAGCTACGCTACACATTGAAAACAATAGTTTTTGTAATTTACATTTTTTAAAATGTTTTAGTCATTTAGCAGACGCTCTTATCCAGAGCGACTTACAGTTAGTGAGTGCATACATTTTCATACTGGCCCCCCGTGGGAATCGAACCCACAACCCTGGCGTTGTGAGACAGGGATGAGTTTGACTGATCTAAATATAAAATTGACTAGTAAAGACCAGGTGCATGTTATTGTTAACCAGAGATATAACAAGTTCAGTTATATGCCATCGCGAGGGCTAGTAGGCAATTTAAAAAGAAAGTTACAAATAGAAATCTACTCAGATTAAAATCGGTTGCGTGGATGGAAAATTAACTTTCATGGTTAACTAAGTTTTTCAGAGCTCAGTTAAAAATTAAGACTCACTGGAGGCGGGACTTGGACAGTTATGTCGTCGGTGTCCACAGGGGAGTCCAACCATTGCCTGTCATCTGAGGACTGGCTGTCGGGGCAGCCCTTCCCTCCGCCTGGCTGAGACTGCTGACTCTTGGCTCTCCGGGATATACTGTCCAAGTCCTGGCTGTCTCCATTCTGCAGGGAAAGTAAAGTATACCAATGGAATTTCATTTATTTTACATTTGTATGCTGGAATTTTATAGAAACTTGAAATGTACAATGTAAGTTGTGTTACAGAAAAATGTCAGAGAAATTATGTGAGAAAACAAAACTAAATGGAATCAACAAAATGACTTTGTTTTTACCTTATCTGATGAGTACTTCCACAGTTCGACACTGTCCATGCTGTTTCTCTTGGTGAATTTTGGTCTGGCTCCTAGAACAGAGAAGAGCGCAAAGAGGACATTAAAGCAGATAACCTTCCATTGACAACTTTACAAAGGGTAAGTGTGCCCTTTAGTGCTGTAATGAATGGAGGGCCAGTAATGCCCTGAGTGGGACTTTAAACAGGGTCACCTGACCCAAGACAAACATCCTATCCACAATCCCACTTCAGAGACATAGTAACACGATCATCAAGGCTAGGGTTACAGTATGTACAATTATTTGATAAATATTTATCAGTTCATGACTGAATCTGTACGATCATCATAATTCATAAAAAATGTATACTGAACAAAAATATAAACGCAACATGTAAAGTGTTGGTCCCATGTTTCATGAGCTGAAATAAAAGATCCCAGAAATTTTCCAGACGCACAAAAAATGTATTTCTCTCAAATGTTCATCCCTGTTAGTGAGCATTTCTCCTTTGCCAAGATAATCCATCCACCTGATAGGTGTGGCATATCAAGAAGCTGATTAAACAGCATGATCATTACACAGGTGCACCTTGTGCTGAGGACAATAAAACGCCATTCTAAAATGTGCAGTTTTGTCACACAACACAATGCCAAAGATGTCTCAAGTTTTGAGGGAGCATGCAATTGGCATGCTGACTGCAGGAATGTCCACCAGAGCTGTTGCCAGAGAATTGAATGTTCATTTCTCTACCATAAGTCGCCTCCAATGTCGTTTTAGAGAATTTGGCAGTACGTCCAACCGGCCTCACAACTGCAGACCATGTGTAACCACGCCAGCCCAGGACCTCCCAGGGGGGCTGCTGGGGAGTATTTACTGTCTGTAATAAAGCCCTTTTGTGGGGAAAAACTCATTCTGATTGGCTGGGCCTGGCTCCCAAGTGGGTGGGCCTATGCCCTCCCAGGCCCATCCATGGCTGCGCCCCTGCCCAGTCATGTGAAATACATAGATTAGGGCCTAATGCATTTATTTATATTGACTGATTTCCTTATATGAACTGTAACTCAGTAAAATCTTTGAAAGTGTTGCATGTTGCGTTTATATTTTTGTTCAGTATCAACAGTTTATAAACAGTTTACAAACCCCTTAGAGGGTGTTTTACTAATGTCTCTAGCATTAATGTATTACAGAGGGTTCTGTACGTGACCATTCAAAAACGACATTGCTCAACCGTAAACAGAAAACGGACAGTTTTTCCACATACAGCTCAAACAGTTGATTCCCATGAACTCTATTTAGCGCTATATGGGAGCTCAATGCAGCATGCATGGTTTTCCATGTGTGTGCTGTGGTCTTGTGATGTGCAGTGAGGACGAGGTTCAGTCAGACAGCCAGGCAAACAGACTATGAATAAGGGGCCCTTTACGAGCCATGCGCCCATAGGGAATGTTGGGCCAGGGTGTGAGCTGGAGGACCTTCACAGAGACCCAGAACAGCCCTATGTGAGGGATGGGACTGCACGTCCATTTCTGCAGTCCACTTCTCACACTTCTACCATCTGTGTAGATCTTGTTGCAGAGAATTTTCCAGCGCTGCAGGAAATGCAGATGAGCTTCGTAATTTACATAAATTCACTGAAAACCCGCACTGACACATGGTTATATGAACAGTATTGCACTTTTCATGCAGCCTACTTTTGTTTCAGCTAATAGCCTAACCACCGATCAAGCAACATTATGGACTAAACGTTCAATTCCTGTTGCTGCAGTATTCTTTTGCTACGACAATACTGGTCAAATTAAGATCCTACATATGCATCTGTCAGTCGTATGACACTTGAAAAGTAGAAAATGAAAACACTATGTATGTATTTGGTTGTATCGTTAGCTCTAGCATTATTGGAATGAATTAACAATTACAGTTAGAAAGTTATGTTATCATTATTTGACCAATGGATTTGAACCATGTGTCTGGGGCCTATTTATTCAAAGTGCGATACAAACGCCTCTTTATTTACAGTGTGTTTATGTTATGTGCGTCAGAGAACCCATTTGTGTATTTGTTTAGAGGGAAAAATGTATTTATCTACAAAGGTATGTTGGTTTCATGCTGGATTTGGCCACCCCAAATCTATCTACACTTGTTCCCTTTGGCTCACACGTGTCCCAATGTACTGACACACTGAAGAGCTATGTCTCAGACATAGACATAAAAGGAATAGACAGGACATATTTTATCATACATTACCTAACCAATAAGGCAGAACGCTACATTCCTGCATAGAGAAAACTAAACACCAATAAATCACCAGCCGGAATGTATGTTCTACTTGTTGTATTTCTATTCTGTGAGGTGGCAATGCCAGGGCCGCCCAGCATCAGGTCCCACCTAACCACAGTCTATACAGCGTGGGCCTGCTGCTCCAAACAGACGCTCCCTGTTTCAAATAAACATCCAACATGTCCTCTCCATACACAGAAAAGGGCTGTGTCCACCTGACTCACCCTTTCCTCCCAGACCTGGACGCAATGGAAGATGCAATGGCCCAGGATGATCTCAAGTGACCTCAAACATTGACCTGTCGATTGACCTGTCGACAGTCTATCTTCATCAGACTATGTCTCACATGGCCCCTTTAGCTTTCTCCTGTCATAGCCTTAGAACATTGTTGTAGGAAGACAGAGTATATTGCCTGGATATTAGTTTACAAGCTGTCACAATGACTTAAAGGGTTAAGATAAAGACAATACATGGAGTTCCTCTCAACTCAGCACTGTGCATGTAAAATTGTAGAGTATGTAATTTGTACAACTGTACATGAATAATTAACACACATTGACAGATGAAGTGCATGTCTGTCTCGGAGAAACATTAAGAATACATTTTCCTTTACAAAGTACACATCTCCATCGTCTTATCCGTGATTGACTGAATCCAATCTCAGAACGATAGAGTTGAAATGATGATTCTATAGAAGACTCTATACTTGTACAGAAGTTTTTTTAGAGGGTCATACATTATGTATTCACTAAGACTATGGCCCTAGAGATGAATGATCAGCAGAGGAGGATTCTGTTGACAGAAGCACAGTGCTACATCATCTATGCCTGGGGCTTGGAGATATTTGCACAAGGACAAATGTATGCATCCTCTAAAGCTTATTCTGAGCTTTGCAAAAATCTCTCCACCTCTAACATTTACTGTACATACATCTCCCTCGACCGATTGAATGGAAAATGAGCTATAGCATTTCACAGAGTGCTTTTAAAGTATGCACACAAACCCCTTGAGTATTCTTTACAGATTCATGGCAAATAGAAGGGAATGCTTCCAATACCATGTACAGTATATTGAAAGAATTAAAAGGCTATAATCAAGCCTTGACCTTGCTTACCTCATACTCCGGACTCGGAGAGCTATGGTACAGTTATTGTTACATTTAAATCAAATGTTGCTATAATTGCTATTAGTCTATAGTTGTATTCCATTTGTGGTGTCCAGTAAGTATCCTGGGGGAACCCATCACAGCTCCTGCCTCTCTCTCTCAACTCAGAGTTCTCCTTCTGAGCGTGTGTGAGAGAGAGTGTGTGCTCAGGGTTGTGCGTGGGGTGTGGTAAGGAGAGAGAGAGAGAGAGCTGGGCAGTGCCAGTGCATGTGGACTAAGGCTGGTCAGAGACAAGACTTACTGTACAGGACTTTTCATATTTATTATTACTGTCATTGCTATCACCCTGAGAAAGTATGGCTGGGTTGGGTATCAAAAGAAATATATCCATCACCTTCTGTTTTTATATGTACTTCTTATCCACATAGGGATTAACTCATGTTTAAAAAAGTGCAGACATGGGTCAAATTGAAAATCTACTCTTTATAAACAACCAAAAGTAGATTAAATAATTTGGACTGTTAGTTCAGCATGTTATGATTTTGGCGCTCCAGGTAGAATTATCTAGAATCATCTTACCCTCCTCAAATCCCACACTGAACCATCAAGAGGACAAACACATCTAGACTCAAACCAGTGTCTACATGGGAAACTTTATCCTTTTCCAAAAACAACTCCAGTGGTCATCATTTATGTATTTCACCAGAATCCTGTGGCAGAGAGGGGCACAGACAGCATGGTCACCAGAGGCCTTGTGTGGTCCGTAGTTTGGCGCTTTGACCGTTACACCAGACTCTGGCACATGGTCATCATTTCTATACTGTAAGTCTCCCTCTCACACTGAAAATACAAGTTCAAGGAAGAACCATAGAAAGAAATCTCCCTCTTACCTTGCACCTCGAACTCTGATCCACAGGATGAAAGGTCACTCTCGTTGACCCCCAGCGCCTCCATCAGCTGCTCCACATTCATCCTGGCAGTCAACTCGCCATTCCTGTCCCCAATCTGAGAGTAAGAGAGAGTAAGAGAGTGAGAGAGAGACACACCTTATTGACTACAGGTGAATGGGATTTCACTGTTCAATCATTTTCTGTCTTCACAGTAATATAACTCCTTTAAAAAGTAGTGTAGCTGCAGTGGTCACTGGTTACCTCTCTGGAGATGTGTAGGTATTTGCGGGCGTAGTGCAGGGCCTGGCGATGGTTCCGTAAAGTACCAAACATTTCCCAGACCCAGCATCACGCCCTCTCACCCTATCAACACATACACAGCTTAGAGAGGAACAAAATCAAACACCAGAATTTCATTTTACTATTTACCTTTTAGTCATTAGGCAGACTCTCTTATCCAAGCGACTTACATTTAATCACACCCACAACCTGGCTTTGCAAACTCCATGCTCTATCACTGAGCTACTCCTGCCGCCATTCCCTCCCCGACCCCTGTACGAACGCTGGGCCCAATTGTGCGCCGCCCATGATCTCCCGGTCGCGGCCGCGGCTGACAGAGCCCGGATGCGAACAGTCTCATGGCACAGTTAGCACTGCGATGCGTGCCTTAACCCACTGCTCCACTGCAGATGGAATGATACCATGTTAAGTAAAGGTTAAGGTGTGTGTGCGTAAAGGCTCGGACTCACCAAGGATACTGACTGCTGAGAGGTACACCTCTGCCCAGAGTGTCGGCAGTCAACCTTTTGTTGTTCACATAGCACAGATTCCCCACCGATCAGCCTCGTTAAAATTACTCGACCACCAGGTGGCAGAGCTTCTAACTACTGTATGTTTGGCTTGTGCCTGCTGTAGATCAGAACTAGTAAGCTGCGCTAATGTTGTTGCGCGCTAGCTAGAATTTCTAATAAGCCCTTGCCGATACTAGCCAGATGGCCACAACTAGATATCTAGCAACATTATAATTACATCACAATGGATTTAATATAATAACATATGCCATATAGCAAACGCTTTTTTCCAAAGTGACTTACATTCGTGCATACATTTTACATATGGGTAGTCCCGGGAATCGAACCCACTACCCTGGTATTTTTTTTTTTTTTGTTATTATTATTTTTTTTCTGGGGGGATGGATCAGCTTAATATTGCAGATAGATTGTATCTTCTATCAATGTAATTGTCTGCATCACTTCCAATCCCCCATGTTTTATTTTTTATATATATATTCCCCTTTATTACTTTTCAACCCCACCATCCTTTCCCTACTTGGAGTAAATTAGTGAACAACAACGCCCAGGCCTCTACTTCCGGTCTATACTTACTATCTACACCTTATGGACAGAGTTAATTTTACAATAATTCTATATCTATATATATATATAGATATAGAATTATTGTAAAATTAACACTATATATATATTTATTTATTTTTTTGCTCCTGAACTTCTTCTACTCTCAACCTCTCCGATCATTTTCATGATGTCCATCCGGTTTGCTTCTAAATGCCATATCTTTCTAACTGTGCTCTTTCCCAAAAGCTCCCAACATACAACCTATATACTTATTATGGACACAGTATGCTTACATTATTAGCTATCTTTGTTATTATTTGTTGTTATTTGTTATTAGTCCCATCCTTCAACTCTATTCAATACCTCCCATCTATCTCTTAACACCATCCATATAGGATTTCTATTTGCCATATATATTTCAACCGTACTGTGATGTTTTACAAAAGTTCTGAACCTTTCTATTCTCATTGCTTCTACAGATTGTGAATTAAAAATAAACATTTTTGCTAAAAGTATTATTATATTATTGATTGATTGACTATGACTTTTCAGATCACCCAGTAATGCTATCTGCAAGGTTAGTTCCAGGTAAATATTGCAATCCTTTAGCCATTCCTGGACCTGTGTCCAAAAACAAGCTACAAATGGACAGAACCAAAACAAATGATCTAATGATTCTATCTCTTCACAGCAAAATCTGCAGAGCTGGGAAGATTGTATCCCCCATATAAATAACATTCTATTGGTAGCAAGAATTTTATATAATAATTTAAATTGAAAGATTCTAATTTTTGAATCCGGTGTCGTTTTGCGTGTCAGTTCATAAACACTATGCCATGGGATCGGTACGTCAAAGATCTCTTCCCAACTATTTTGCAATCTATATGGGACGGCTGTCAATCCTTTGGTCCTTAAGTGAAACTGATATACTTTTTTATTTATCACAGTTTTCCTTAACCAATTATGTTCTTTAATGCAAGGCCGACAGACAAGTTCCTTACTTTCTCCCCCTTCAACTTTCCTCTTCCACTTTTGCGGTAAGACTGCAATTATTTGGTTGTAATTCTGGGTAGAGCAGACATTTCCATATGTTTTTGTTAGCTGCATGTGCGACATAACTCCACCAGTCCTACCGATGATATCATTTACGAAGATTATACCTTTTTTAAACATTCTGTCAAAAAATAAAGGTTTTTTGTCAATTAGTATATTTGAATTTAACCACAATATTTGTTGCATTATTTGTTCTGTCGTTTCTGGAGGATTAAATTGAAATTGCAACCAACTTTCTATGGCTTGTTTTAGAAATAGTGACATTTGGGAGATTATTTCCTTTTCAAATAACTGAAAGTGAGAGGTTGTAATCTGAGAGGTTGTAATCACTACCCTGGTATTAGAAGCACCATGCTCTACCAACTGATCTACAAAGGACTTATTTTTGAATGAAGCAGCTGCCTATTAGCTGCTGAGAATCAGTGGAGTAGCTTGCTAGCTATGTTGTGCTAACCGTTTAGCTAATGTTAGCTAGCAAGCGAGCTGGTACTGGCAGTATGGGAGAGTGAATTATTTTCTTCATCATCTTGCTAGATAGCTAGCTTGGTAAATTATTTAGTGTTGTGTCAATTGTGCTGCACTAACTCTCTTGCACACACACTGGACTCTACCCACACACTCACACTGACACCCCAACACACAGACACAGACACACACACTACATAACATGCACACACATGCATACTGACGCCACACACACACACACTTTCACACTCACCACATATGCTGCTGCTACTGTCTTATCTATCCTGTTGCCTAGTCACTTTACCCCTACCTACAGTGCCTTCAGAAAGTATTCATACCACTTGACTTATTCCATATTTTGTTGTGTTACAGCCTAAATTCAAAATTTATTAAATAGATTTTTATTCTCACCCAACCACACACATAATGACAAATTAAAAACATTTTTTTATACATTTTTGAAAATGTATTGAAAATGAAATACAGAAATATCTAATTTACATGTATTACTTTGCTATGACACTCCAAATTGAGCTCAGGTGCATCCAATTTCCTTTGATCATCATTGAGATGTCACTACAACTTGATTGGAGTCCACTGTGGCCAATTCGGACATGATTTAGAAAGAGAAACACTTCTCTATATAAAATCCCACAGTTGACAGTGCATGTCAGAGCAGAAACTACATCATGAAGTCCAAGGAACTGTCCGTAGATCTCCGAGATATAATTGTGATGAGGCATATATCTGGGGAAAGGTATAAAACGATTTCTAGAGTGTTGAACATTTCCAAGAGCACAATGGTCTCCGTCATTGGGAAATGGAAAAAATATAGAACTACCCAGACTCTGCCTAGAGCTGGTCGTCCGGCCAAACTGAGCAACCAGGCAAGAATGACCTTGGTCAGGGAGGTGACCAAGAACCCAATGACCACTCTGACAGAACTACAGAGTTCCTTGGCTGAGATGGGAGAACCTGCCAGAAGGACAGTCTCTACAGCACTTCAGCAATCTGGGCTTTATGGGAGAGTGGCCAGACAGAAACCACTCCTGAGAAAAACACACATGACAGCACGCCTGGAGTTTGCAAAAAGGCATGTGAAAGACTGAGCATAAGGAAAAAGATTCTGTGGTCTGATGAGACAAACATTTTACTGTTTGGCCTGAACGCAAAGCGCTATGTCTGAAGAAAACCAGGCCCAACTCATCACCTGTCTAACATCATCCATACCGTGAAGCTTGGTGGTGGCAGCATCATGCTATAGAGATGCTTTTCAGCGGCAGGGACTAGGAGACTGGTAAGGATAGACGGAACAATTAATGGAGCCAAATACAGGAAAATCCTTGATGAGAACCTGCTTCAGAGTGCAAACGATCTTAGACTGTGGGGCCAAGATTTAAGTTCCAACAGGACAATGACCCCAAGCATACAGCCAAAGCAACACTGGAATGGCTTCAGAACAAGAATGTGAAAGTCCTTGGGCTCTATTTTAACAAACCTAATGCAATGGTAAATCTAAGCGCAGGCGGTAACGCTATAGGTTCGGGGGTGTGTCAAATATTTTTGCTATTTTTACTATCAATTATCGGCGCACTTGCTGGTGTTGGCACGAAAGGGCTGGGTTGTGATGAATAAACAAGTTGTGGGTGTGTCGAGGCTTGGCCCCTCACTGGCCAATCAGAACGTGCTCCATGGCGAAATATGTGGTTGCTTCAGGTTGTGTATTTACGGTCTTTTATGTATTGCCTTGGAATCAACTGTAATTCCAATGTTAGTCCGTTATAGTTTAAATGGCTTACAGAAAACGAAATAGCAAAATGTAGACCTATCCCTTTGCTAAATAGGTTAACTTGAACCTATTTGCAGTCCACATTGTTCTAAGTAATTGCATGACTTCAATAGCATTCACACTGATATAGGGGCTAGGCCTACTCTAAATTGCGTTATGGCTGAGCATGGACATGCCAAACAATAAGCAACAAGCAAGATTAAATTAATTATTGATGAGGCCTAAAAAGATAATGAATAATTCTAATCAAATTCTAAACAAAACAACAACCTGTTTTAAATATCCTATGTCACTTACAGGCACCATCATTTCTCCCCGTGGACAGATAATAATAAAACAACACAGACTATGGAGGATTTTATGCACATCCAAAACGGGACCTGCATGGCAAAAATAATGTGGGCCTGCCTACAATGCATAGATAAAGGTGAATGTCAGCTCACTGTTTTACTCCTCTCAAACTTGATATTTTAGTAAGCTTTGGTGATTAAGATTTATTTTCAAGCATTCTCAGGAGCCAAACCCTTTATCGACAGTCTTGACTACTTCGCGATGGTATTGGGCAGACAAAAAAAATAAAAGACTTCATTTAGAGGAGGGAGGCTATGATTGGTTTTTAATCAAATAAAACTAAATGGGAAAAGACATTAGATTTTTTATGTTTCTAAATACGAAGTATACAGGCACCAAAAGTACATTAGGCTACTCTTGTTCCATGCGCATATGGGCAGTGTGCGTCACGGCTGGATATGCTGCGTTTCCGCGGTCAAATTTCATGCCATAACCAACTACTAAAACCAGCTTTTGGTTGGTCTTAAATATCTCTATCAGCGCTGCCTGAAATTAGCACTTTGGATCATGTTTTTAAGGACACACCTCAAATATTTCCACCCCGCCCATCTGAGCGCAAGCGAGCTGATATAAGACAGATAAATTGCCGAACCTGGCGTTAGGGCTGAATTTTTTTTCGCAAACTAACGTGCATTTCACACTAGGGCCGATTTAACGCCAGCCAAAAATAGAGCCTCTTGAGTGGCCCAGCCAAAGCCCAGACTTGAATCCCATTGGAAATCTGTGGAGAGACTTACTTGAAGATTGCTGTTCACCGCCGCTCCCCATCTAACTTAACAGAGCTTGAGAAATTCTGCAAGGAAGAATGGGAAGAAATCCCCAAATCCAGATGTGCAAAGCTGATACAGACATACCCAAGACGACTCAAAGCTGTTATCGCCGCCAAAAGTGCTTCTACAAGTATTGACTCAGGGGTGTGAATACTTATGTAAATTAGAGATTTCTATATTTCATTTTCTATAAATTTGCAAAAATGTGTCATTATGGGGTCTTTTTAAAGTGTTTATTATGTGTCATTATTAAGTCTACTTAATCCATTTTGAATTCAGGCTGAACAAAATGTGGAATAAGTCAAGGGGTATGAATACTTTCTGAAGGCACTGTAAATGTACAGTACATACAGTAGCTACCTCAATTACCTCGTACCCCTGGTATATAGCCATGTTATTTTCTACTCCCTATACAGTGGGGGAAAAAAGTATTTAGTCAGCCACCAATTGTGCAAATTCTCCCACTTAAAAAGATGAGAGGCCTGTAATTTTCATCATAGGTACACGTCAACTATGACAGACAAATTGAGGAAAAAAAATCCAGAAAATCACATTGTAGGATTATTAATGAATTTATTTGCAAATTATGGTGGAAAATAAGTATTTGGTCACCTACAAACAAGCAAGATTTCTGGCTCTCACAGACCTGTAACTTCTTCTTTAAGAGGCTCCTCTGTCCTCCATTCGTTATCTGTATTAATGGCACCTGTTTGAACTTGTTATCAGTATAAAAGACACCTGTCCACAACCTCAAACAGTCACACTCCAAACTCCACTATGGCCAAGACCAAAGAGCTGTCAAAGGACACCAGAAACAAAATTGTAGACCTGCACCAGGCTGGGAAGACTGAATCTGCAATAGGTAAGCAGCTTGGTTTGAAGAAATCAACTGTGGGAGCAATTATTAGGAAATGAAAGACATACAAGACCACTGATAATCTCCCTCGATCTGGGGCTCCACGCAAGATCTCACCCCGTGGGGTCAAAATGATCACAAGAACGGTGAGAAAAAATCCCAGAACCACACGGGGGGACCTAGTGAATGACCTGCAGAGAGCGGGGGACCAAAGTAACAAAGGAAAGAATGAATGGGGCCATGTATCGTGAGATTTTGAGTGAAAACCTCCTTCCATCAGCAAGGGCATTGAAGATGAAACGTGGCTGGGTCTTTCAGCATGACAATGATCCCAAACACACCGCCCGGGCAACGAAGGAGTGGCTTCGTAAGAAGCATTTCAAGGTCCTGGAGTGGCCTAGCCAGTCTCCAGATCTCAACCCCATAGAAAATCTTTGGAGGGAGTTGAAAGTCCGTGTTGCCCAGCGACAGCCCCAAAACATCACTGCTCTAGAGGAGATCTGCATGGAGGAATGGGCCAAAATACCAGCAACAGTGTGTGAAGACTTACAGAAAACGTTTGACCTGTGTCATTGCCAACAAAGGGTATATAACAAAGTATTGAGAAACTTTTGTTATTGACCAAATACTTATTTTCCACCATAATTTGCAAATAAATTCATTAAAAATCCTACAATGTGATTTTCTGGATTTTTTCCCCTCAATTTGTCTGTCATAGTTGACGTGTACCTATGATGAAAATTACAGGCCTCTCTCATCTTTTTAAGTGGTAGAACTTGCACAATTGGTGGCTGACTAAATACTTTTTTCCCCCACTGTATATAGCCATGTTATTTTCTACTCCCTATATATAGCCATGTTATTTTTACTTGTTATTCACTGTGTATTTATTGCTCGTGTCACTCTTTATATTGTTTATCTTATCTTTAACTCTGCATTGTTGGAAAAAGACCCTTAAGTAATAATTTCACTGTTAGTATACACCGGTTGTCTATGAAGCATGTGACAATTTGATTTGACTTACCACCCCATTCATTTCATATTAAATTGTGTGTGTGACTGCCTGGCTAAGTTAGTTAGCAAGCTAAAGTTAGCTATCTAGCCAACTAACAAGCAAATGCACATTATCAAACCTAACAAAAAATCCCCAAGCACAAAACTCCTTAGCTAAAAAAATATGTATTATGCAGCTTTATTGTTTTAGTCACAATTCTAATGAAAAGGGGGATTACACTGGGAAAGTGCCCTATTTTTTTATTTTCCTTGTCATTCCTGTCAGCTCCCCCACGTGGAGGTTTGTGCACTTTGATCGGATCAAAGTCAAGTTGTTGTCCTTTGACGAGAAGTGCGATTCTACTAGTAGTTCGTTGGTACAAGGTCGATACACAGCAGGTATGTATTTTGTTCTAGCAAGAGAAGGAACGGCCTCCTACTGTGCTAACTACCTATCGGCAGTCAGATTTCTCGGTGTGTCTGACCATTAAGTGTGCATACCTGTCAGTGAGCTCCTGGGCTATGAGGAGGTGTTTGAGGTGGTAGTCTATGGCTCTCTCGTACTGCTGCAGCAAAGTGTAGGTGTTCCCCAGGCTGTAACAAGCCTGGGCCTCCATCACCTGGTCCTTCAACTGACGAGACAGCTGCAGAGTTTTCCTGGATGGAAGAGGAATACAGGGATATGGAGAGAGAGAGGAAGAAGGAATGAGATGTATACAGAGGGAAAGAGGTAAAGACAGAGGGTGATGAATGGAGTAAGAGGAGAGAGAGGTATTTATAGTTAAAAATGTGTTTGTTCCACACAAAATTCGAATTATTTATTTTAAATGAAACATTCTTATTATAAATTAATCTCATACATTATATTGATCTTAAAACATTAATAGATTTGAATCCATGCAGGTAATCAAGTCTATGATATGGCGTAGCTCTGAGCTCCATTGGTTGATACACATCGTGTCCACTAGGTGTCAGCGTGTAGTCTGTTTACCTGTAGTACTCCGTGGCAGTGTTGAACTGTCCCAGGAAAATCAGAGCGTTGCCTAGGTTACTATAGGCTCTACGTTCAGCTGCTTTGTCACCGAACTCCTTGGCGATGGAGAGTCTCTGAACAAAATAAAGTTTATATATTTTCTTGGAAATGTATGTGTATATTGCTCACCTTGACCAGTCTTTACCCTATTGATGGATGGGTAAATTACTGTTTGGCCTGAATGCAAAACAGCTCATTCAAACAGGCAAGTTGATTTTGTGTTTTCATTCAGGGACGAAATGGTTGAGTGTGAAAATACCTTTTCTTACCATTAATTATGTTACAGTACGTCACACTATTGTGTGCGTATCTCTTTACTAGTACACATGATGGTGTTGACTACTGTCCCAGGGATATGTACATGTATCTCACCTGTCTGTGGAACTTGATGGCCTCCACAAAATTTCCCAGCAGGTAGTGGGTGTTGCCTAGGTTACCAAAGGCCCTCCCCTGAGCAGCTCGGTCGCCCAGCTCTTTGACCAGACACAGATTCGTCCTGTAGGAGAGAGGAGGACTTGAGTTAAAGATGTGTACCAATTGTGTTTTACACAAATTATACAAAGTCAAATTTTTGTTGTCTTGAACAAAACATTATAAACTTTGTACCTCCTGGTTGCACAACATAAACAGTACAGTACTTATGAAAGCTTTGACGTAGGCAACTGGCCTGTCAGTGTGTTGTCATACGAAACAGAGGGCCTGAGCAAGCCTTTTAGTATGTCCACAGGGGATTGTGTACTACAGTTTAGCCTTTTTTTGTTGTTGTACTTTTTACCCCTTTTTCTCCCCAATTGGTAGTTACAGTCTTGTCTCATCGCTGCAAGTAGTGTTAATTGCCTGCAGAGAGATATTTTGAAGGAGCTAATAGCCCAGTGGGATATTTCAATCATATGTATGGTGTCTATGCTGTGTGCATGCACGGGTGCGTGCCTGCTTGTGTTCTAGCGTGTTGAGTGCGTAGGTGTTCGTGTGCACATGTATAAGCGTGTGTATACAGCCTAACACTCACTCATAGAAGCCAGTAGCCCTTTGCAGTGTATCTCTGACGTCTGGTGGGAGGTCCCCAGGGTCCTGGGTACAGCCCCATAGCTGCTGCTTTCCCTTGGCATGGAACACATTCCCTATATTATACAGAGCCCTGGCCTCTCCTACCTGGTCAGACGCAAAGGGAAAAGGGAGAAAGAAATGAGCGACTTTAGAAGACAAATAGAGACATTGGAAGACATTAGGGAATTTTTCAACTGAAATAGCATGGACCACACTCAAATGTATTTTCTATACAATACGCCGTTCCTCAAAATCTGATATCAGGATTGCATCTTATAAACAGATGCAATCCTCCAATCCAATGTGATACTGGTGTGGGTTGGAGTGTCTGTGTCTGTGTATGCTACCTTGTCCCCCTGCTCTTGAGAGATGTCCAGGTGTCTCTGACAGCACACCGCTGCCTCGTCGAAGCGCCCCAAAACCTTCATTGTGTTTCCAAGGTTACCGCTGGCTTTCCCCTCCCCTATCCTATCCCCTATTGTCCTGTAAATAGAGACCGTATCTCATTATTAGTCATGGTTTTGAAGTCATAATCAATGCGTACATAGCCTGAGTCCCAGATCTGTTTGTGACGTCTTGCCAAATCCATTGCTCATTGTCAACACAATAACACACATGCTACTGCTTAGACTTAGAGCTTTATTGATTTGATTACCTAACTGTTTAAGTGGTCCTACCTTCTTAGGACAGGGTTCCAGTTGTCCTGCTGTTATTGTAATGTAACAAAGCAACAGCCCCCTGGGTTTGTACTCGCCACCCTGCCAGGCTACCAACTGCACCCCTCTCCACAGGAGACAGGCTTAGTCATCTGAGCTAAATACCAAGGGGGTCTCTCATCAAAATGAACACTATCAAAACCTGCCTCTTTCTTCTAGGAGGGCAACAGGCATACACTTCATATTAGTGATGGGGGGTATCGATACAGTTTATTATCAGGATATTATTTTTGACGATATATCGTCGTATTGTTTTGACAATATCGCAATATTATTGTTGCACTAGTTGGCTGTACCTGCACCAAAACGCCAGCATTTTTCCATCATAGCTTGATCTCCATCTTCTTTTTAAATAGGGAGCCAATTTGTTTTCAGAACTTTTATTTCCATGATTGATCATAACGTGTTGTTTTCTCATGGCTCTCTCGTCCCTCTGCAGCAGACATATGGTGAGCAATATGTTTGGAACATTGAATCGCAATAAAATCTAATTATCTAATCACAATACATATAGAATTGTGAGAATCGCAATACATATCGTATCAGCAGCAAAGTATTGTGATAATATTGTATCGTGAGGTCCCACGATTCCCAGCCCTACTCTGTATAGTATGCAACCCATAGCTAAGGATAACTGTTTACATACTCTCTTATGCTTTATGAATGACTTCAGTCTAAATGACATATACATGCATTGCAGTCTATAAAATTGATATTTTAAACATATTAATACCATAGGTTGAAATCCTTTCACTACAATTTGAATCCATAATCAGACATGATGTTGCCTGGAATTCCATGACCTCACCTGGCCAGAGTGAGGTCGTGTCTGTGGTACTCCAGGGCCTTGCCATATTCCTTCAGGTAGAAGTAGGCGTTGCCCAGCTGGCTGTAGATGGCACTGAGGGTCTTCAGGTCTTCTGTTCCCACCTGCACAGCCGCCTCGAAAAACGCTGTCCCCCCTTTAAAGTCCCCCGCCTTACACAGCCGCTCTCCCTCCAGGGCCAACTCCAGACACGAGGCCTCCATCCTGAACATACAAACACACACACACACAGAAGGACAGAGAAAAAGAGATAACGTCAGTATTACAGCGTCAGAGTCCGAAACAGTGTGCCTATGAAGGTACCATGGCAATGGTGTCCGGAAATTGTGTCACTATAACAATGAAAGTTTATTCCTAAATGTCTCCATGGCAACAGTGTCTGAATCAATATCACTGTGCGGTTACCACAGCAACACTGTCAGAATAAACACTTACTTTGACATGAGCACCTTGGAGATGTAGCCTTTTCAGCTCTGTTATCTCATCTCTATCTCTCCATAACGCTACTGTTTAAAAGTCCAGTTTATATAGTGAAGATAACTGGCACGTCCTTTCTTCCCTGCATTTAGATTCAGTGTCTCAGCCTCCCAGAGTTGTCCGGTTCACACACTCTAGTTCAGTCTGGTTTAACCAGGCTAGTTTTGATGCGCAGCAGGTCTTAAATACCGCATTGGGAGACAGAGTGGAATTTTTTTTGAAAACACCTAATCTCCACACTGACAATAAGGAAGGAGATTGAATTCATATCACTACACACAAAGCCTCAAGCCCAATGAACATGCTCCTTGAAGTATTTCCTTGCCCCCTCAAAACACTGTATTTTTGTCAATGTTGTCCAAGCTAAATATTATTCAGTGTGCTGTAGGGCCTCCAAAGTATAGCCCAAGAGTACAATTATAAAGTGTTTGTGTTAAGTCAATATAATAACTGTTCATTTAAATTCTGAAGAGAATAGAGGAGGGCTCATATTCCAGAAATAACTGCTGTAGAGCCAGGTCCCTCTCGCCCCCCAGAATGCCTTAGTTACCATGGTTACATAATACTATGCATACCTAACCTCTTTCTGGTCTTCACATAACAGCTTCTGTCACTCAAAACTGTCCAAATATTTGTAAAGTTAAATATTGTACAAAAAAAAAAATTTTATGGGGTGCTACAGCACCCTCAGCACCCCTACTTCCTGCTGCTATGCCCACTGCCCTTTTCAACAATGCCTGAAGCTAGATATGATTATACAGTGCAGTGAAAGACGTCTGTTTTCAAGGAAAATTAGCTCTACTTCATTATTTTAGCACCCGTGGTCTGAAATCTATTCTGGCATAATCGCTCAACAAGCCTCATTCCTGAGACCATTTCAAGACCTTCCCCACAGTCATCTGAGAACCATTGATACGATGAAAGCAACCAGCCAATGTGGATGTGATTATGTTATCGTTTGAAAAACGCAAAAGATAATGCCACTGGTTCTTCAGCAAGCTCAGTGTAGAGTTCAGTGTAGATTAGCCCCACAGTGTAATCCATATGTAAATATGATTAGTAGCACTTTATTTTACAGTACACATTTTACATTACATTTTTGTCATTTAGCAGACACTCTTATCCAGAGCGACTTACAGGAGCAATTAGGGTTAAGTGCCTTGCTCAAGGGCACAGACAGATTTTTCACCTAGTCGGCTCGGGGATTCGAACCAGCGACCTTTCGGTTACTGGCACAACGCTCTTAACCACTAAGCTACACCACTTCCCTGGTATTTACTTAGAAATTACATTTTATTATTACACAACAATTACACCTTTACGGCCAATTTCCAAGGGATTCATTGGCAAAAACAACTTGTTAAGTACTGTAAGACTTATGACTTATGCAGCACCTGACACTATTTTGTCCCAAATAGGTTGGAAATATAATTATTTGAAATATGCAGCCAACCAATACCCTAGCAGTCAGCATCTAGGCTATATGTTGAGCAAATGCCTTAATAGTGCAGTAAAATAAAGTGCTATGTCTGAGCCTGCTGTTGGCAGGACTTCAACCAGTACCTGTGTTTCTGTTTGGTGCGGGTCTTCTCGACGTACACCCCCAGCTCCAGCCTTATGGGCCTCAGCAGGGCCCGGGGTCTGAAGCCCCGGTTGACCAGCCTGCACACGGCACTCTGGGCCCCGGTGAGATGGCAAGAGTTAGACGACATGGGGTCCCAGGTCAACTAAAGGCACTGAAAGGCACTCCTTAGCTGTAGGGATGTGTGGCGTGAGGTGGAACTTTAGGGTGGAGGTGAACTTGAATGCAAAATCTCACGTATGCTAATGCAATACACTCAAGAGTTCTGCTAGAGAATCCAGGAGAAAAACATAGCAATACGCTGCTCCCACCAGGACACACATACACACAGCCGGGTTTGAGATGGGGGCTTGATGTGTCCCTGATAAGTCTATGAAAGCAGATGTCAGATTCAATTAATTACTCCATAGTCGAATATGCCAGCGTTAGCAACAGTGCAGCCAGACCATTTGGACAGAATCCCATTGGAGATACAACGCACACTTTAAAGCACTGTTCCTCAGGTGTCCCCAAATGCTTCCCAAAGAACCAACGATGAACATCTGAAGCGATCAGGACAATGACAAGAATCCCCAAAACAGATTAGAACACACAAACTTCTAACAAATCAACAAAATTAGTCCTTCCAACACTGCAGATGTCTTCTATGGATATCCACAAATGTAAAACTCCCCAATTCCACAGAAGCACTATATGAAGCAGGTTAACAGGTGAATCAGTAAATGACTGTATGGTGTTGTCCTCCCTAAGTAGTATTGCATGGTCCTTCACTCAACCAGCACTGTGTGACTGAGTGCTGTAGTCGATCTAGTCCCGCTGAGCCATGCTGAGAGAAGAGGAAGTATCTTGGAGCGAGGATCCTGGGTGACGACAGTGTGACACGAGCGTCTCTCAGCAGGACCGGTGCCCCGGTGAGAGAGAGGAGGGAAAGAGAGAGGGAAAAAATAGAAAGAGGGAGAGAGGGAGAGAGGGAGAGAGAGAGAGAGAGAGAGAGAGAGAGAGAGAGAGAGAGAGAGAGAGAAAAAATAGAAAGAGAGGGAGAGAGAGAAAGAGAGAGAGAGGGGGAAGAGAGCGAGAGAGAGCGATACAAATACGCAGGTTTACAAATCGGAGACAAATTGAGTACACGTTTGATTTTGATTCCATTAAATATTGAATATGGAATATTTGGCATTATATTTTCGGCTGCTCTATTTCTTGAATCAGGGTGCTTTTGATGTAATGAGTAAAGAGCCTGAGTTACATCATCAGTTCTCATTTGAGTAACCGAGAGAAACAGAGAGAAGCACAGGCTTCAGGAAGGGAAAACAGGACACATTGGCTGTTGGTCTTTGAGACACAGTTTCCCAGGGTTACTGGGTTGGAATTGTGTAAGATAAGAAGGCTATGATGTTTTGGGCTTAGATGGATCCTTTAGCCCCCGGAGGGACAGATTTACTAAACCTTTGCATTGGACTGATATCTGCAGTTCCTGCTTCAGCCGAGATAAACCAGATAAGGCATCTGCTGAACATAATCTGCTCATTAATTCCTTCATTTTTATTATCAGAAAAATAATTATTACTGTAGATATACAAACTATTAACATTATGAGTTCAGTTTTCGATTAAGCTCCCTAAGAAAGAGTTAAAAAGTTAGCTCATTTAAATTATATGTAGCCTCAGAAACAAAGTTGATGACAGATCACCACCTCAAGCTGAACCTTGGCAAGACGGAGCTGCTTTTCCCCTCGGGGAAGGACTGCCCGTTCCATGATCTCGCCATCACGGTTGACAACTCCGTTGTGTCCTCCTCCCAGAGTGCGAAAAGCCTTGGCGTGACCCTGGACAACACCCTGTCATTCTCCGCTAACATCAAGGCGGTGACCCGATCCTGTAGGTTCATGCTCTCCAACATTCGGAGAGTACGACCCTGCCTTACACAGGAAGCGGCACAGGTCCTAATCCAGGCACTTGTCATCTCCCGTCTGGATTACTGCAACTCGCTGTTGGCTGGGCTCCCTGCCTGTGCCATTAAACCCCTACAACTCATCCAGAATGCCGCAGCCCGTCTGGTGTTCAACCTTCCCAAGTTCTCTCACGTCACCCCGCTCCTCCGCACACTCCACTGGCTTCCAGTTGAAGCTCACATCTGCTACAAGACCATGGTGCTTGCCTACGGAGCTGTGAGGGGAACGGCACCTCCATACCTTCAGGCTCTGATCAGTCCCTACACCCAAACGAGGGCATTGCGTTCATCCACCTCTGGCCTGCTGGCCCCCCTACCTCTGCAGAAGCACAGTTCCCGCTCAGCCCAGTCAAAACTGTTCGCTGCTCTGGCACACCCAATGGTGGAACAAGCTCCCTCACGACGCCAGGACAGCGGAGTCACTCACCACCTTCCGGAGACACTTGAAACCCCACCTCTTTAAGGAATAACTGGGATATGATAAAGTAATCCTTCTACCCCCCCTTACCCCACACCAAAGAAAAATAAATAAAAATAACATATTGTAAAGTGGTTATCCCACTGGCTAAGGTGAATGCACCAATTTGTAAGTCGCTCTGGATAAGAGCGTCTGCTAAATGACGTAAATGTAAATGATGAGATTAGTAATTTGCTAATCTTAGATAATATTAATATATTAGACATTTCTGAACTCACTTATACAGAACCTTTGATGATACAGAAGTAGAATTACAAGGATATAACATCTATAGAAAATACAGGAATGTCTACGGGGGAGGTGATACTGTACATGTACGTACGTACGTACACTACCATTAAAAAGTTTAGAGTCAGTTAGAAATGTCCTTGTTTTCGAAAGAAAAGCAATTATTTTGTCCATTAAAATAACATCAAATTGATCAGAAATACAGTGTAGACATTGTTAATGTTGTAAATGGCTATTGTAGCTGGAAACGGCTGATTTTTTATGGAATATCTACATAGGCGTACAGAGGTCCATTATCAGCAACCATCAGTCCTGTGTTCAAATGTCACGTTGTGTTTGCTAATCCAAGCTTATTATTTTAAAAAGGCTAATTGAACATTAGAAAACCCTTTTGCAATTATGTTAGCACAGCTGAAAACTGTTGTGCTGATTAAAGAAGCAATAAAACTGGCCTTCTTGAGCCTAGTTGAGTATCTGGAGCATCAGCAATTGTG